GACTTTGTGTTGGAGGAGTTTCGCTCCTTTCCGTGTTATACATACTTAGAAGATCCTAAAATATACACTTCCGTCTAAGGAATTCCAATATCAAATAAAATACACGTACTGATTCATAAGGCAGTCTGCAAATGGCATGATAACTTTATCTCTATTGCAGCAATAAATTGGCTAAATTGTTGGCTACTCCTGTAACGGATCCAACTAGTTAATGAGACTCGTGTATATTTTACACAATAACCACTACAAAATGTGTACATTAGATGCACCTGAGAGCTTATGTAATAAAGTTGATCGCCAGACATCGAATCTACAACCGGAACTACAAGTGAACAATGATGTATTTTTTTTATGTATGTCATCGTTATTTATGGGGTTCGAATTTCGCCTGTGTCATCGTTTTTTCTATTAACATCACTATTAGTAGATTATGTACCTATATTTCGTGTTGTTTATAATAAAAATAATAAACTACACGAAATTTTAGTGAACACCGTCGTATTTAAGCGGCACAAATCAATTCTTTTGATTCGAAAAGTTTTGATTGGACACAATTTTGAAAGGAAATTACATATTAGGCTGCGTCCGGCAGCTGGGTATGACGAAGAATTAATGTTACTAGATATATTGTACAGGTGGTAATACTAACAATTTTGACTAAAAGACATTTACTACACATATACTAATATTATAAACCTAAAGACTTTTTGTTTGAACATGCTAATCTCAGGAACTACAGGTTCGAATTGAACCATTCATTTGTGTTGGTCACTATTTATCGAGGTAGGCTCTAAAACAACAAAAGAGGGAAATGTAGAAAAAATATGAAAAATTATTTATCTTTATGGGCTTTTGTCGACTAAAGAGCATTTTTTTGGTATCTTAAATCATACCAAAAAAATGTATTAAAGAATGATTCTAACGAAAATGATAAAAAAAGTGATATACGGACGGACGGACTAGCGTAGAGTCCCTTGTTCGGAGGAGAAATTTCTCAGCCATGAACCATCTCTACAAGAAGCATTGTCGACCTATTTTGGATTTGGGTATTCGGAAGTCCATAGACTGAAACCGAAATGGTATTAACCTTCACGACTTTTTTATCTAAGTAAAGACGGTGGTTTGAGTCCCGAACTGACGGATGATATACTAATGTGGCTTGGATATTATATCTTATATCAATATATAGACAGGCATGGGGTTCCATGATTGTCTATCCTCCTATATAATAAATATGAACAATATGTAAAAATATAAATAACGACGGCTTATTTACATAATACACATTGCGTAGGTATATCTAGTACAAGTCTACATCCGTGTAAAGAGCGGAGGACAGTTGTATAAGTTTAAATAGGATTTTCCTGTCCACAATACGTTTGTTCTATTTTAAAACGTATTATGCGCCTGGACATTTTATTGTGTCTGGTAAATATTTTATGGCAATTTACTTACTTCAACGTTAAATCTTTCTATAGGTTGTTAAAGAAGTACGTGAGCGTGAAAAAATAATTGTTCTGTCTCTAATTAAGATTATACAGCTTTAGGAGACACAATTCTGTGTCCGTTTGACAACATTTATTAATAAGAAAGCAGATATTCTGCACCCCGCCAAATTACTAACTATGGTTATTTAAAATCGAATTTGAAAAATTCGATCGCGATAACCGCAGCATTCCGTGCTGTGCTCTCCAATGAGCTACCGAGTCTGGCGACTCGGGCAGGACTGGAATAATTTGTTTTTCTTTGATTCGAACTCATGACCGCAGGTATATGAAAATTGTGTGTGTGTATGACTAATAAAGCCCATACATAAAAATGTAATTACCGCTTTATTAAAACAGCTGCTTTTATTTAATAAGGCAATTTTTATTTAAACCTGCAAAAGATTTAATATTTTTTATACTTTCCGAAAACGCGAAACAGCGGTCCTGTCCACAATACGTTTGTTCTATTTTAAAACGTATTATGCGCCTGGACATTTTATTGTGTCTGGTAAATATTTTATGGCAATTTACTTACTTCAACGTTAAATCTTTCTATAGGTTGTTAAAGAAGTACGTGAGCGTGAAAAAATAATTGTTCTGTCTCTAATTAAGATTATACAGCTTTAGGAGACACAATTCTGTGTCCGTTTGACAACATTTATTAATAAGAAAGCAGATATTCTGCACCCCGCCAAATTACTAACTATGGAATAATTTAATTTAAAAATCGAAAATAAATTGAAAAAATTTTCGACTCGGGCAGGACTTGAACCGGCATCGTCAGCTTTCCGTGCTGTTGCTCTACCAATTGAGCTACCGAGTCTGGCGACTCGGGCAGGACTGGAATAATTTGTTTTTCTTTGATTCGAACTCATGACCGCAGGTATATGAAAATTGTGTGTGTGTATGACTAATAAAGCCCATACATAAAAATGTAATTACCGCTTTATTAAAACAGCTGCTTTTATTTAATAAGGCAATTTTTATTTAAACCTGCAAAAGATTTAATATTTTTTATACTTTCCGAAAACGCGAAACAGCGGTAAATACCACATTATGGAAATTTCAGGCCTAAACCTAAATAAACGGAGCTTATAGGGTAATTAAGTTAAAAATACAAAATGCCAAGCAAATAAAAAATAATTTTATTTCATCTCGGCGGACTGTGAAAAAATATTACAGTATAGTGGATTTTTCTGCGTTGTTTGCTTTGTGTTTGTAAATAAAATATTATATATCTAAATGATTAAGGATTTGTTTTCGTTTAAAAAAAATGTTTATAATTACTATTTCTTACCGGTTAATATAAAAAAAACAGTAAGCAAAAAAACGGTTTTACTAAATCCCATACATCAAACAAACAACCTAATCTTACACATCTTATATAGCTGGGGTATTTCACTTCATATAATACTTTTAACAGTTTAAAACGGATAATATATTAGATAACTTGTTTAAAAATTATTTTAACTACGGCCCGACGTTACGCATACTTTGCAGCAGCCGTGACTAACTTAACTAATAATATATTTCGCAATTAAAACACTTAAAAGTGTTTATTTTAAATGTGTACTACACGCGTAAACTACAGACAGTACTTAATTAACCAATATGGGGTATTTCCCCCCTATACGTATCCCATGCTATGTGACACGTATTTTGATCTTGGCTAATTTTGACGTTCATTTTAATTGAATAGAAATTCAAGACTTTTTTGCTTTTGTTTCAGATAAGGATGAACGAATAGAAATTAAGACTTTATAGGCGAAGATGTTCTCAATACTTGATAGATCACGAACTGAAAGAGTCAAGAAGAAAAGGATAGAAATATCTGAATGCTGAACGAATGAAGAACACTATGGTGCCAATGGAAGAAGTTTATGGTGAAGAAGCCACCGTGAAAGTGAAGCAAGAAAGATAAAGGTAACATCTCCGAATATACTGTCTGTAGTTTACGCGAGTAGTACACATTTAAATATCGCGTTTTAAACTTTAACGGTTTGAACGGTTCGAATTGGTAAAGTTACCAATTCGAAAAAGCACTTTTCTCTTCTTAATCACACAAAATGTCAAATTTATCTTCCACGGTATTTTTAAGCTTAGCAAAATTAATATTTAACACGTCAAAGTTAATCATTTAATTATGTTTATGCGTACGCGCTCACGCAAAATACATGAAAATCTAGTCACTCTAATGTGTTTTGGCGCCAACTAAATTGATTTATGCCGTTAATTTTAATGTACATAACATTATTATGCTTCGTTAATTAATGTTGTATCTGATTTATAAACAACGCAAAACAAACAGTTTCCTAATTAAAATTAAAAAGGGAGAGATCTTACTAACTCAAATATTTTCAATGTAAGTAAGGTTTCATGTAATTTTTAAAATGATGGTAATATATTTAAAAAGGTATAGGTAAAAATAAATTCAAACAGATTATTTAAGTCTTTGACAAGTTGTGCTCATTGCTATAAGACACTTAACGGTTGAGAACGCGAAATATATTAGTTGACTCACCTTTAGTTTATTTTAACTACGGCCCGAAGTTAACCCCCCCCCCACTGGGCTTAAACTATTTTTTTTAGAGATTTTTTTCTAAACTTAAATGTGTAATTTTAAATTTTAAATTTGGTTTAGTGTAGTGCAGTAATTATAATACTGAAGTTTACATATATCGCTACATTATCGATATACTCATAAAATTGTGCAAATAACATGACGTTTCTACGACATCAGCTGTCGTTGCAACCCTTAGTTATGATTGGTGTTATCTTTGACGTGTTTTCGAAGTGTTTGTTTGGTATATTTTCTTTCGTATTTATATATAAAATTCATATTTACTCTCACAGATTCACATTTAAATAAACAACACGTCACCTTAAAAAATATATTTACCCATTTTTTAATAGAGAATGACATGAATCGAAAAAGCCTTTATTTGAAAGTACTTCCTAATGAAATGTTAAATTCATAGACTTATAGAACAAACTGATTGATCAAGTACTGTCCGTAGTTTACGGTAGTAGTACACATTAAAATAACCTTATAATAATTTAAAATGCAATGTATTAGTAAATTATTGAAAATGATTTTTAGTATGGCCCGACGTTTGGGCTGCTTTGCAGCAGCAATTTAATAACTACACTTCGCGTATTTAACCGTAAAAAGTGTTTTATTTAAATCTATCTGATTTTAAATTTCATAATTTAGTTTATAAAAAAGTAAACTTAAAAAAAACACTTTCAAATTGTTGACAATGCGATTTCCGATCCAACTTAAAGTACGATCCGGAATAGGGATCTTGGTAACCATTCTTAAGTTTTTCAATTCGTTGAGTTAGATAACTCAAAAAATATGTTGCATAAAATATATTTAAACACATGTTCTACGTTGTCATAGGGTTTAAATACTTGTTTTATAAATTATATAGAATAATATTTTTTTTCGCAAGTTCACATAAACACAGTAAAAGTAAGACTTAGCACAGTACTCTCAACAGGCCAGGCCTTATGGATCAAGTAAACGTGACCGCTAACGCAACGAGCAACGCGACAGGCGTCAACGATGAAGAATGGACGGACTCGGTGGTGTTCAAGATACGGACGGCCGTCTTGCTGCTTATCGTCATCATGGCCGTGCTAGGCAATATGCTGGTCATCGTCAGTGTTATGAGGCACAGGTAAGGCTATCCCAGACAAGGAATCTTAAATCTTAAAACCGGCGCTGTACGCACGTTATGTACAGCTTTTTTAAAAGTATATTTAAATACCTTATTATATTTTTGGGGAGATAGGTTTTTTTTTTTTTTTTTTTTTTTTTTTTTTTTTTTTTTTTTTTAATTTTTTTTTTTTTTTTTTTTTTTTTTTTTTTTTTTTTTTTTTTTGGGTTGGGGGTTTTTTTTTTCCCCTACTCTTAGAAGTGTGAAGCATATGCCGAGTGCTATCTTTCATTTTACAAGCAGTTTATGTTCCTTCCCCATTTTTTGTTTATTAAATAATTAATTTATAATAATAAATGAATTAAGTATATTTTATGTAGTTATTGAGCTAATATTTAAGTTTATTTTGTTGTATCTTTTATATGTCCGTAACCGACAGCGTACCGTGCTGTTGCTTTAACTAACTATACTCAGTAGCTCAATTGGTTAGCACGGAACGCTGCGGATGTTGGATCAAGTCCTGCCTGAGGCGTAATTTTTTTCAATTTTAATCGAATTTAAGCTGAGATTTCTATAATCATAACTCGCTTCTTTTACAGGAAACTCCGCGTTATAACAAACTACTTCGTGGTATCTCTAGCATTTGCTGACATTCTGGTAGCGATGGTGGTCATGCCGTTCAACTTCAGCGTGCAATTTTACAACGAGTGGATTTTCGGTACCGTCATATGCGACCTCTGGAATTCATCGGATGTCTATTTCACTTCGACATCAATATTACATCTCTGCTGTATATCTGTTGATAGATATTACGCTATTGTGAAGCCTTTGAAGTACCCTATTAAAATGACTAAGAAGGTTTGTGTAGTTTCATAATTAATTACAAAGCACGCAAAGTAAATTCGGTCTCATTAACGACGCTCTTTCTTCCATAATTGGTCTTGAAACAATATTTAGTATTATTTGAATGGATTCTTATTATTTTAAGATAGGCCAGACATAACGCCGTTGTTTTGCGCTGGCTTTACCACCCAGGCATCATCCACCGTTGCTGGTTGTGCCTTTCGCCCATTCCAACTCGATGACTAGGGCTCTCATTGCGCAAACAATACGAGTGTTTACTTTAACTAATTGTTACTACTCATTCTACTTCTACTAAAAATAATTATAACAATTTAGTTTTCATTTACATAATACTGTCGAATTGAATTGTATCTGTACTGGCAGGTTATTTCTGTGTAAATAAATAAATATTGGATTTTCTCTAGGGATGGTGGAATGGCTTAGTGCTAAACATATTAAGATAGGATATAAATAGTATATAGAATACAAAAATAGAGCTCTTTTTCCCTGACCTAAATAATAAACTTTTATATACTTAATAATACAGTGACGGTTTCTAAAACCCGATTTTGTAAGGATACATCAAGGATACCCTTTTCATTCCGAATCAGATATAAATTGTGAATTTCAATTAAGCCCAAATAGATTCTGATCTTGTTTCAAATATTTTGCGAAGAAAATCAAAGTCCACTTTAGCGGTTAACGAAAACAACATTAAGCTTTTAAGTCGTGATAATTAATACATTTAAGCCCCAAGAACAACTAACTTAAACGGGATCCTTATTATCTTGTATTTTGGCGGCTACCGAGTGTATAAAATCTAAATAAAACACTTTGAACTGTTTGTAACGGGAAATATATTAGTTAACTTATTTACAAGTTTGAAAACTTTAATATTTTTCACATGTTATTGCATATGATGGCACTATCCAATTTGAAAATCGAAAATAAATTGAAAAAAATTTCGACTCGGGCAGGATTATTTCCCCTTGACCTTGGCTGTTGCAAAGTATCCGAAACGTCGGGTCGTATTAAAATATATTGCAAATATGTTGACTAATATTGTTTGCGTTTTGAACCGTTAAGTGTGTGTAAGTGTTATTTATGTGTGAACTCGCATACACTACAGACATCCCTTATATAAAATCTATTTGTACCCTATACCTTATCTTATTAAATAGATAACTTCAAAAATACAACTTATTATTTGAATTTTTGTTGTTTTCTCTGATTTAAGCTCCAAATTATTCTTTCCTACAAAATAATAATTCTTCTTATTCTTTTTTTTGAGTTCCTATCCAGTTTACTGAAAGTTCTACTCGAAAATAGCGAGTAAATATAGAAATCTATAGGTTTGTTTGAGTTTCTTGCAATTAAACATCAAATTTTAATTGACCAACTCGTTAGTCGATAAAATAGGGACACAATTGAACCGAAGCTAAACCCACAAACAACGACAATTAGAACCTTCAGCCGGTATTTATTTACAGTAATTTGCTACAGAAATACAGTGCGGCCTAAACAATACTTAACGGAATACCTGATGTTTTGATTTCCCTAGACACTACAGAGCTTAAATTACGAGTAAACGTTACTAATTATTAGGCTACGGTTTCATATAAATACCATGGCACACGTCACACCGTTAACAATAAGTTTTTTTTTATAAAAAACTAGCTATGGCCGCGACTCCGTCCGTAGTTTGGGCATCAAAAGTTGTTTCAGCAAACCTCCTCCTCGTCTTCATAAAAATTTAACGGCTTTCCACAATGTCGGCAGCATACCGTCATACTTACATATTAATCGTAAAAGATAGATATACTGTCGCTAACATTTTTTTTTATCAGTTAAAGAGGAATCATTGTTTTATACATTTTTTTTGGGTATCTTGAAGTGTTTTCGTAGCGCACGCAACCGCAACCTTCAAAGTTGAATCGTTTTTCCCGTTTTTTCACATTTCCCACTGATTTTTCGCTCCCATCAGTCGCAGCGTGATGTGATATTGCCCGAAACCTTTCTCGATAAATGTTCTAATCTACATAAAAATATATTTTTAGTTCAAATTAGTAGTTCTTGAGGATAGCGCTTTCAAATAAACAAACCAACTCTTCAGAATTCTTATATAAGTATGGAAAGATTTCGTACCTTAGTTATTAAAAACGATATGCATTATTCAAGTAGATGAAAGTATTGTATGCCGATTAATGTCCACGAATCAACTATTCCACCGATCAATACGGTCAGCGAGTATCTCAAAGTGACGTTACGCAACGCCGCACCGACTACGATATTTATAAAAAAACCCAGCTTACTTATAAAATATTACAAATATAATTATAATTAACATTGAAATCTGTTTACAGATGGCGTTTGTCATGTTAGCCGCGACGTGGCTCAGTCCCATAACAATATCATACGCACCCATCTTCATGGGCTGGTATACCACCAGTGAATACATCAGAACTAGAGCGCAGAACCAATGCGAGTTCAAAGTGAATAAACCCTACGCTGTAATATCTAGCTCAATATCGTTTTGGATACCGTGTACAATCATGATATTTACTTATCTAGCTATATTTAAAGAAGCGAATCGACAGGAGAAAGCGCTCCACGCGAGAGCGGGTAATGCAATGTTGATGCATCGGCATTCTAGAGAAGTGGGGGATAAAAACGGCGCTCTACATATCAACGCTACAACACCAACTAAAGATAGGAATATCCTCAAGATGAAGAGAGAACATAAAGCCGCCAGAACATTAGGCATCATCATGGGTGCTTTCATCCTCTGCTGGCTCCCGTTCTTCCTCTTCTACTTGTCCACCTCCCTGTGCGACACCTGTGAATACCCCGAAGTATTGACTGTTATCATGTTTTGGACTGGTTACTTCAATTCCGCGTTGAACCCGATCATCTACGCGTACTTCAATAGAGATTTCAGAAATGCATTCAAGAATACTCTAGCTTGTGCGTTCTGTAGTTTCTGCCGGCGGAATTCGTTGGATTCCGACGCGCTGGAAAGACTGGACCGACGCGGTTCAGCGCAATTGAGAGTGCCAATCCCATCAAGAAGACAATCTGATCTAGCGTCCCTTTGAGTGTCGCCGAATTTCGAAGTGACTACCGTTTGACGGGCCTAGTGATTCAACGAATAACCTAACAGTACTTAGGGAGTGATGTAAATATTATTAGTGATTTCAATGCAAGTTCCTTATGTTTGAAAGTAATTTATTTTCGTTGATAAGAAGTGTAATATATCTAGTGCTTAAAGGAAGGTAAATGTAATATGGACAATTTTTTTTAAACTAGAAGTCTTTGCCTATTTCGTGATGTAAATAATACGTAATATCATTAACTTATTATATATTTAGCTGAGCCAGAAAGGGAAATAAATTGAAGCAAACCTGTGTGTAATACTTAGTTAATAATTTAGTTATGTGTTAACGAAAATAAGCAATAAGTAGATACAATCTTGAATCTAGATAAAAATGATTGAAATATAGATGTTATTAAAAGACTTGAATAATTAGATTGTCGAATATTGATCTAGCGAAATATGAACGTGAGTTTAGGCTAACTATACACGATGGATATTATGTGAACGATGTTTACGTCCAAGTCAAAAAAAATATACATTTTGGTAAGCATAATATACACCGACAAGGTATTAATATATATAAGATAATGTTACTATATAGCAGCGTTGCTTATGGGTTCATTGTCTTACATTTTTTTTGGTCTGGTGGAATTTTGGAACCTATATTAAATGGGGCAGTTGGTCATAGAGGCTCGTTCCGTACTTCCCTGTTATTGAAATTGGTTATTATTAACACAGACACTGAAATGTGTCTGTCCCATGCCCCAAATATAAAATTGTAATATATAATAAACATGAAGTGACAATCTATTTTGTCTAATGATCGTTTGGTTGGCTTAAATATTGCTAGTACGAAAAACTATATTACAATGTTCACATAATTGTTGTGTATATTTAAATATGTTTTAGACGGTTTTATGTATCTCAGTGCAAAATATTCCTTATCCTATTGTTAGCTACATGTTTTGTTCGACAAGTAGTAGAACATTTTCAACAAGCTAGTCTGTAGCCGAAGGGTCTTTGTAAATAATACAAATTTTATCGATATTGTAAATATTATTAGGATTATTATTGAGTATTAGGTTCGGTTGAATCTCTTTATTTGTAGTGATTGAGAAATTGTTTTATTTATATGTTTCCACACGTTTAACTGTTTGAAACGAAACAAAATTTTGGATGATTTTCAGAAATTGTCACGAGGTATTCAAGTTCCGAATGTCAATTCTGCTACACTAGCGCCATCTATATCTGGCAGATTTTTTAAATATCTACTAAATATGTTTCATTCGCTTTTCTCGCGTCAATACTTACGCGTTAAGAACATTTTGAATGCTCGTATTTATTTCTTCATGTGATGTATGCAGAAACTACAAATAAAGAGAATTAATTTTGTAAAATTAGGAAGATACGATATAATGGGGACAAATAACGCTTCAATAGAAAAGGTTTTAAAAATAATTGATGTGCTATTAATAACTAACAGATCATTAGATTTCGATGTTTGATGTCGTGTTCGAGTAATGTATTCATACTAACTTTTCTATGATATCGATAGTAAATTCTGAAATTTTTTAGAGATCACCAAAACCCTATGAAGATAAAAACGTCAGAGATGAGACGTAAGCCAGTAACAACGGATAGTTTGTAGAAGAATTCTTAGATTTCGTTCTTTTCATTTTAAAACATTATACATACATTTTATGCTTTACACTTTGTAACAGATATGGCCGATATTAAACCTAGCAGTAAAACTTAAAACCAATATCTTAATATCATTTACAATCATGGCGGCGTCTTACATATCGTTATAATACCAAACTTTTAGCGGAAATACGAATTTTACTATCGATAAAAGTAGAATATCTATTTTATTCCCGTCTCATAAAATCTGTCTGTCGATGTCCATACTTCGCTTGACCTTTTCAATTAATGGAAGAATCTGGGATTGTTATCAAAATTATTAACGATAATTAAAAACTTGCCAGACATTTTGCAGGTTACGGTCTACTAGAGGTCGAAGATGTTGGGGAGAGAGTTGAAAAAAAGAAAGAGAGATTACTGATCTCTAGTTAACCCGAAGGACTAGGAGTAAAGCACTTCTGACTGCATATTTGTTATTAAACTAAACAGCATTTGTTAAATATGATACTGCGTACAATAGAAAAGCGTCCATCGGTTTTGCATTTAACACTTGTATAACTTGTGAAGTCAACAATTAACAAGAGAAAGAAGAAGATAATTTCGATAACGATCCCACAACAAAACACCTAGTTGTTGTAAATTAATGTCTTCCTTAAATATTTAAGGCTCAAATTAGTGAAATAGTTAAAGTATTAACGAATTTTAATAAAATCGTAACCTATGTGTCTATACTATGTGTAAACGTCATTTTGACCGATTGATATTTGTATTAATGATATAATATGGTTGTGACTTCTTTATTAAGTCATATGTAACTTGATGTCTATTTTCCCGTGAGTTATCGACAAAACTCTTTCCACTGAATGACAAAATAGTTTACAACTCATGTGAAACGTTAATCGTGTATAAAGATAATAATGTTTTATTTGTTATAAATTAAAGTTAAAATTACCAAGTGCAAAGCGAGTATCTTATATTACTTTCAGTGTTTGGCTTGGTAAACTGAGTTCAAAATTTAAACAAAACTTCAACGGTTTAAAACGCGATATATATTAATTAAACTAGTTTGGAAATTATTTTAACTACGGCCCGACGTTTTCGAATGCCGTTCACATTAATAATTTTATTTATATGTGTACTAAAATTCAAATATTTCAATCATAGTTTTGGAAGGAATTCGGATATTGTTTTTCTACTGTGGGTTCGCAAAATTGTCATTGATACTTGCCTTCTAAAAATATCGATAAACTCGCGTAAGGCGGTTTTTGCGAATCGTGAAAATATTTTTTATCCACGAACACAACTTGAAACATAAGTTTTTGTTGTTTACATATCACATGGGTTTTCTTTATTTCTTTATCAATTCAAATCAATGTATTGGTTTATTTTTGTTCGATTATTAAAGCTATCTCACTGAACGTTGTCATCTCAAATTCTATCTCATTAAACAATTTCATATAGATCTGTTCCTATAAAATCCACCGAAATCATACAAATGTAATGAGTAGCGAATTAGTGTAGAGTAATGCAACAGATTTAGTCAAAAACTTAAAATGACAAAAACATGTGGGGCTTGTCAAGAAAGCTATCATAGCAATCAATTAAATGCCAACTTATACAATTTAAATAAATCATGTTAACGGTTTAAAATGCTATATATATTAGTTAAACTTCGGCCGAACGTTTCGGATTCTTTGCAGCAGCCGTGGTGACGCGCCACGGTGTCGCGTTTAAAACCGTTAACGTGTTTTATTTAAATGTGTACTACTCGCCTAAACTATAGACAGTATTTGCACAATTTCTTGATAGAACAACAAAAATATCAAATTAGTTAACGCAACTGTAAAGCAATGTATATTATGTAATTTTCTTTTGAGTCCGTCCATGTAACTTTTAGTTTAATGTGACATAAATATTTGTTCGATTTAATATTTTGTGACTCCATTGACGACTAAACTAAACTAGAGTCTCTAATAGTTAACCAATAAAATAACTTATATGTTCCCACTTAGTTAGTTACTTTGGAGGACCTATTCCAGATAAAACTTTTAATGAACAATACTGTGACGTCATTATCTATAGTCTTTGGTCCTTTAGTCAATCTGTGAAAAGTAAAGTATATGTAAAGAGATGTATCTGCAAAATCCGTTGTAAATATTCAATCATTGTAGAGTGAAACTTAAGTAATATTAGATATAAAACAACAGCAATATGTAATTCTAATAGGTCGATGTAAGTAGTATGATGTATAGACCGTAGAAGCTTTTTATATTTGTTAAATATGTATGTTAATATATGTAGGTTTGATACGTAAGCTTTTGAGACTTTTTCATATATCAAATATATGATTCCCACTTTAAACATCATCGCTGTTTCATCAGTGAGTTAGTTGCTTTTTAATTTATTCAAAATTATTTATATGATGATCTTATAAATAAAGTTGATACGAGAAGTTTCTTTCCAACTTTAGTTAGAAAGATAAAGACAAGCATAGAAAAATTTAATATTTTTAACACTGCATACTTAAATTAAACATCGATTATACTCGGGCAGGACTTGAACCGGCATCCACAGGATTCCGTGCTGTTGTTCTAACCAATTCGAGTCCAACACCTTCTCGATTTTTTCAGCTTACATAACGCCCGAGTCGTAATTTTTTTAATTTATAATCGATGTTTAATTTAGACAAAACACCATTTTGCTTGAATGAATAAAGTATATAGATATTACGAACTATACTAGGTCGAATTAAATAATTTATAAGGCGTCTTGAAAGGATTTTCGTGGGCGTCTCGGGAACGGTTCGTAGATAGACCCTTAAATGTGAACCTCAGTTCGGATTATACTTGAGGAATACTTAAAAGGTCAAAAAGCTTTGTATCAAACCTTTAACTTCGGCGCAAACATAGATAATGATGATAATTCTATTGCAAATTCACGATGCCCGGTGAAACATGTTGATTTCGTCTAGAAATCGAATATTAAATGCGTGGTAGTAATATCGAAATTCCATCCGGGTCACGAATCACTGTCCACAGATGAAAAAGCCGTGAAGCTTAATCGCGTTTCGATTTCAGTCTGTGAATTTCCGAATTCCGAGACAAAATAGGTAGACAACACAACTTCTTTAGTATAGGCTAGGGTACCATCAAGTGAACCCCGTACTTGTCGATTCTCCTCTATGATAAAAAAAAATGACTTTTTAATGACAAAAAACAAAAAACTACTTTTTAAAAGTCTATAAATATTTAAATAACAATATAATATTACAAGAGGTTTTATTAAAGTCCTGAAGTAATGTAATAAAAAAATGAGACTAACTTTATTCAATAAATTTTATCTCAAAAGACTACGAAATAA